TATATTTCGTCTCTGCCCTTTGTGTGCAAAGAAGTTGGCCGCACATTCATACGTTGCATATGAACAAAATAATATGCGTGTGCTCCCGTTCGTAATATCAGAAATAGAGATTTATATAGTGGGAATTGTATGAGAGTAATTTTCTGTTCTATTCGAATATCAACTGCATGCATACGAATCCAACATGATGATTTGCCAAAGTGGTTGCATGAGCGGCTGAAGTTTGCAGCTCATCTCACCATACATTTCTATCACATTTCGTCTCTCCCCTTTTAACAGTAGCACCCACGAATTTCTGTCTTACTGTGCGGAGTACTTGTCCGCACATTTATACGTTGCAAGTGGGTTTGATTTTGTTTGATCACTGCATAAACATGTATGTTTCCAAGTACAAACTCTTTTGTTTGAAAAAAGTTGGTTTGATGTTACGAGAATTATGTGAAAAGTTTTGTTTCTTCCATATTGATATAATATTAAACTTATATATAAATTATTAATTTAATTTGTTTAATATGTTATTTTGTTAATGAATTGTTAATATAATATTGCGAATATATTGTTGCCTAATATAATATAGTTATTATTAATAAAACATCTCATATATTTTAATTTAAGTGGTACATGTAAAAACAACATTAAAGAAGAGCCGCACACCCTTCCAGATAGGGCACGCGTCGTCACTGCTCTACGCATTGCAGACAGTTTCAGTTATTGTATTAGCTAAATTGTAAAAAAATATAAATGCAAAATACTCCCTAAAGTTGGTTCAAATGCTATATGCGGTGTGTGATATATAATTTTAAGCGTCCTTCCATAATGAGTGTGCATTTCGATAAGGTCCAAGCTTCTGCACATTTGTTACAGATTCAGTTTCTTCAAAATCCTTCTCAGTTTTGCCTATAATGCACCAAAATATTTTTAAATAAAATTTAATTCAATAAATTGAATAAGTTGATTAATATAACAAATATACAAACAGTAAAAACTATTTTTGATGATGGTGCCCAATTATTAGGGAATTTTTGTATGAACATAACTTTCAGCTCAGTGATCGTAAATCAAGTCCTTTATAATTCAACAAATAAAGGCTCCTAACTGCATACATCTTGTAATACTCATTAGCTCCTTTTTTTAATGACGAGATTTCTAACCGTCTTATGCGACTATGGTCTTACGTTCAAAAACTTTGTTCTTACAGTGCTTTTAGATCAGTTTTCTGCAGCCAATCTTCCGATAAGAATATGAGTCTTCAGGAATAGGTCTTTAACCTAAATGCACGCTTATTTTTATTTTGCTCAAATAACTGTTTGTATGCTCAAAATTTTTGAAACTCATTTCTGCTCTAGAAATGCTACTTTTATATATTTATTTTGACTCTAATAAATATATAAAAGATAATCTATAATTTGCAATCACATTTATCTTTTTCTTTTCCAAATAAATTTCGTTGAAATTATAATTTGCCATACGGACGGAATTAATTTGCTTTGTTTCAATCGTTAGAGCAAAGAAGTAAACTAACATATATTTCACATAGATTTTTGACTATTAGAAAAAATATACCAGGTATTATTCTTTTCTACCTGTTTTTGTCTGCTGTTGCATAGTTTGAATACATTACCACTGAAAAGTGGATGATATATAACTAAAAGCAAATTTAGTACATTTTAATATGTTCATACCATTATTGGCCAATTTAAAAATATTGTATACAAAAACGAAATATTTTGTGTATATTGAATAAAGTTGAAGGTTATCAAAGTATATAATTTTTTTATAATATATAACATATTTTTCAAAACAAAAAATAGTCTTATCACAAAAATTTTTCAAATTTTTATATGACAAAAGCCCCAAGATCCGCTGCTTTAGAAGAATGTATAAATCAACAAGCGAATGCTTTCTTCACATTTAAGTAACAAAAATAAGCGATTACCGCACATTAAAGAGAGGATCACTGATCTGTGTGCTGCAGCTAAACAGAGTATTCGCCCATTTCCATTAATTGAAACCTTTTCCCTTATTCAACTCGCTTTGTAAAATTCCATTAGTAAAAATTAAAGAAAACAAAAACTTTTTAAAGAAAGACCTCATGAAAACGATAGTAAAAATAATAATCACCGTTGATTTAACAGTAACTACACTGTTAAAAAAGTTTATTAATCGTTCTATATCTTAAGCTTAAATTTTATACCGACAACACTATCTCATTTGTAAATAAAATGGCAGAATTTAAAGAGACGTTCTGTCTAGCTTGGGGTTCACCAACATTATATTAAATAGTTTCATAATAAGTTATTTAGAACCGTTGCTTAATCTACAGAACAAATATGCACAGGGACTTGGTTTCCTAACTGATAATCTTTTAAGACCTCTGCCAAGTTCAAGAAGAAGAATTCTTAAAAACTCTCAATCCTGCAAAAATTTCTATAGTAAAATTATATTCAAAATGTTTGCTCTTTGAAGAAACTAAAGTGACACACAGGATAAGGTAGAACAATAAACAGTTTTACCTTATAAACGGAGAGACCATCGTTAAGTTCATTAAGAGTCAAAAATCGGATTAAGCTGGTTTAAATGTAAGAACACCAAAAGATGGTTGTTATTATTAAACGTGACAATGACACACTGCAGCTTTAAGAAATATTGTGATTTCCCTAGAGTGCATTTTCTAAGTTAACGCAGACAACATCCATAATGTTTAAAACTTAATAATGTCTCTTGGTTTCACATCCTACAACACCTTGTTCAATTCCAAAAAGTCAAATAAAGGTGTTAATATCGTTTCCTAGCAATAACAGGTCACAAACAGATAATATGAGTATAGTTTCACTTGGTATTTCACAGAATCTATAGATATCAGTTTCCTTAGTCACCAATCTTTAATAGATGGTAAATAACAGACACATGTCCACTTAGGAAACTAGTAATTAATCTGAGTTCAAATTTAATTATACTGAGAAACCTGTCATTTTTATGCCTTAAAAAAGCTGCAGTGCGTTCAGGTCGGTTCAGATCTTCTCTAACAAATCACATTCTTTGTTTCTAAGTACTGATTCAATCTGACAAAAGGAGATTCCGCTAAAGCATTAGGGTCATATGCAGACAGTACTGCGACCGGCTTCACTAGTTAACAAGAAAAATATCAAAGAGATAGAACATTGAAAAAATTTTCAGGTATTTTAGCAGAGAACAGGATAGGAGGCACCGACACAAGATATAGAAAGACAAAGTAAATAATGGTTTTCGGAGAATAGACAACAGCAAATGGAAAAACAAAGCAAGAAATCAACAGAAATGAAAGGCTAAGGAGGGAGATTTACGTTCCTCAAACACTGTTATACTTATTCTAAAAAATTGCTAATTTTTTGTAAATTAAACATTACCATATCGTTGTAAGATCACATTAATGAAATAAGGGACTTGAAAATAAATGCATATTTACGTAGGTCAAAACTGTCCCATCCGCCAATAATTTCACAATTTCTTATTGTAAATTTTTTTTTTATTTAATTATGATATCTTCAATATCGATAAAAATTACATTAGATTAGTTTACAATGGTGGTTAACGAAATTAACTTAGATGAATTGACCTATTGTACTACCGTATAAAAACTTTGAAACTTTACATTTTAAATTTTCGACGAGACCTAAAATGCCCTTTAAAAGAAAGGCCAGATGCCTAAGATGGAGATGACTTGGAGATGTTGGAGATGGCTGAGATGTTCTAAAAATTAATATTTTGTCATGGTTATATGACATAATATTGGATTGGATGCAAAATTTTATGAAAAAGATTCCTATACAGAAACAAATTTTTTTTAATCCATGCAACCAACACACCTCAAATCAGTGAATTAAACTTTGACTAACTCTATCTTTTGAATATTCTTACACTTCAAAGAAATCTTTCGTAAGAAACTATATAGGTACATGTATTTTGCATTACTTCAGAATAACTATGACAAAGGTCGTTGAAATGAGTTTATTGAGATTGTTTGGGTTGGAAAAAAAACTAAAAATTGGTTTTTTTATATTCGTTCTGTGAAATTATAGAACTACCAAGTATACATATATATATATATACCATATATATGGTATACCATATATGGCCATATATACCATAGACGTGTATTTTGCAAATCTTCCAAACATTTATATATATATCTTTGTATATATGTTATCTTTGTAATGGTGTTATGTATATATAATTAGCAGCTACCTAAGTTTTTAATTATTTCAACGTAAAAGCATTTACAGCAAATTTCTTATAATTGTACTTAAAAATTTAATGAACAAAAACTATTTAAAATATAAAATAACAGAATATAATATTTCAAAGTATGTGAGTCTTTTACGCACCTCAGATGGGATCTTGACCATTTGTTTACAAAATCATATGCAATATTTTAATATCCAAGCACATTCATGATGCCCGATATCTCAATTATGAATCTCAATTATAAGTGATCTGTGTTTATAGATGAATTAGAATACTTTTCAGTGTATAGAATCTTGATAACCTCAAACTCGAACTGCGTATAGGGAGCATCGCACAAAACGATTAACATTTCATACTATTAATTTAATACTGACGACAATAAAGTAAAATCCTTATCAATTGAATTAGTAACGCGAAATAAGTACCTACCGAAAATACAACAAATCACACTTAGTGCACACATTGATAATAGTAAAATAAATAAGTGTAAGTGAGATAGAGATATATATTATACATAATCACATTATAATTATTTTCAAAATTAATTTTTGAGAGCTCATCCGTATCTCTGGCGTAAAACGTCAAATAACTTTGTTTTGCAAATTCAGCGAGACTCAAAAACAGAATCGAAAACAAATTCCAAAAGAAAAAGTAGAAATTTGAAAGCGTTCTCAAGATTAGTAGGGCTTTCGTATCGGTGCAAAATATGTAATACTACATCATTTGTTTTGTTGAAAAAAATAAATACATATTTTTATGTATACAATTAAGTAATGTTATTAGTTAATTCAGAAAAATTAAATAACAAATAAAGCGATTAGTGAATTATTGACATTCAAACGGAAAGCATTCGGATTTTCGAAGTACTGCTTCAGATGAGTTTCATTTTATTGACGATTTGTCTAAAGTCGGAAATCAATATATCGTAACCGATTTTTTGTGCAGTTCAAAAATCTAGATAACTAATCGGTTAAAGGTATAACGGAATTGCCGTAAAATTACTTTAAATACAATAAATAAATAAATAAGTTTGTGCCTCAATTAGTTCATATAATTTTGACCAAAATAATAGAGGAAACAAAATTGAACTGATACGAACAGTTAAAAAAAAAATTTTATCAAAACCCCTATTATAAAACTATGCATATACAAGATAACGCCAAATATCGAATCGTGTTCTGCGGAATTTGTACAACTGGATAAAACGCCATTTTATATCACCATTTTAGATTAATTAAATTATAATAAAATTACTTATGTACACCAAACTGAATATATATACTTTAACAGAAACTATATCCAAATTTAAAAACAACATATAAAAGGTAACTACACAATTTATTATTTATACATAACAATGTATATATGTATATAGCACACTAACAAATATATATAACATGATAACATTTAGCACATGTCAATTGAGTCCACATTATGTATCACATGCATATGTATGTACATAGATCTATAATATGAAATTTCTAATTACTCTCTGTACTTTTATTAAACTTAGTATTATCTAAGTTCATTTCTACCAAGACTGAAATCTCATTCATGTTAAAATTAAATTTTACAATTATTCGTTTGAAAATTTCCAAGAATTAGATTGTTGTTTCCCGAATTATAGGTTTTTTGGTTTTAACCTTTATATATAAAACTTTTTTTAGTTTATTACCACAGTAACTAAAGCATTAGTCCATACTTTCAAATCCATACATTATTTAAGTGTCATTCCGAAACAAGCATTATTTAACAATTGCTTTTATGGAACAGCTTTGATTAAATACAACATATTTAATCCACTTAGTACAGTACGGCAAGAAATATCTATACTTACAGAATAGTGTTTTCCTGTCTGCAAAATATTATATAAACGAGTAGTTTTGTTGCAATGGCAACACATAAAATCTGAATTGTATGGATATACCTACAGCCCGTCCTTGATACGATCAAACTACTCTAAACAAAATACAAGGCATTTGAACGAGTTTAACCAATTTAACGAATCGAAAAATGTTTATTACTCATCGATTTTAATTGCGTATGTTTATATGGTCAAGTCTTTTCAAAGACCAGAAACAATTTTATTTTATTGTCAAATTTAGTTTGGAGAATATCCAGTGCTGTCAAAGAGGTGCTACAGTGGATGATCTACAAGAGAAATCCGTTTTTTGGTAAAAAAAAATGTATGTTCCCTAATGGGTTGTTATGATGGTGTATTTTTAGTGCAACAAAAACTAACAGTTTAGTTCCCAAAATTCCGGTTGAAAACATCGAATTGAGGCTCACAAATATTTTAAAAATCGAACAAAATATACTATGATCAACATTTAAATTTCTGGCATGCATTTATTGTCAGCAATTCACTTTCAAACTGTCAACATTATCTAGAAATACTCTTCTAAAAACGCAATTATCTCTATTTTAGCTATTCTGATCAATTTCAAGGCTCACTTCTCGTTGTACTTATATTGAACACGCCATATTTTAGAAACAACTATAATGGCTTACTATGTCATTGGTTTCTTCAATTTTTTTTTTTCAAATATCTTTCAAATACTTAACAATCCAGTCTTTTTGGTCATCCGTCAGTGCATGTGTCACAAAACGGCCAGAGATCTTCCGTTTACACAAATTTTCAGTTTAAATTCTATAGTCTGTGTTTTTCAATATTTGTGTTTTGTATATCGAGAAATACACCAGAACACCTGATGTGTTTTTGTCCAGGTCTGGCCAGAACTAGGTTTAAGTTTCTAGGGGCCCCTTTCTTCAACTCATTTAGCGATATCTCCAGCATCAGCATTAGCCAGATTCTTGCATTTGTTAATGCCTCTGGTTGGTTCTAGTTTGACCCTCTATCTACTACTCACTATTACGAGGTTTTTGTGGATTCAAAACGGCTTTCATCCTTTGCTATTTGAGGAGGATTCGTCCTCTCTCCACCACAACTAACTAATATCGAGAAATAGTGCAGTTTTGCATCTGCTAACCAATGCAATCACTCTTCTATGGTTGTATAAATCATATGTGTCACTAGATTTACTGAAGTGACGCAAAATAGTTGAAACTACCGGTCTCTCTCACTAAAGGTTTGTTAATAGTGCATCCAAAACACCTTTCAAAACTTTTTCACAGCAGACATTCGCATTAACCGCAATGCCGCTGTCTCATAAAACAAATACGCAATGTAGAGCCACCTGAATCATCATATAACCTTTGACTTCTTATGATCACTTGGAATATTCATTATTGAATACTAAGTTCTCTTAAGTAAATTTAATTATTGCATTTGTTTACAAAGAGCTCACACGGAAATTTTTTCCATCAAAGCAGATGATAATTGAAAATTGTTATGGACGTATAAGCTCAACAACATCAGCTCTTTGGCGTTATCGATTCAATTTTTTTCTTTGGAATACCGGTGGAATCTTGTTCGTTACGGAACTTGTAACGTTTCGCTTTAGTTTTGTTAATATGTATAGGTTGTGTGGGTAATTCCGATTTATTAAGTTGAATAACGATATGACTTTCATTGCAAAATGCATTTTAAACAATTTGAACATCCACTTTCCGAGACTTAGGCTTTTCCGATTTTACTATTGCGTTAGGCAACTTTGTGAGCTTTAATATCATATACTATAATTCTTGATATAAAGGATTTATTTATATTAGGAGTTTCGGGGTTTTAATACTAACGTTGAAATAAAACATTTGTTTGAATTCTTTTATGGAATAAATTTTTTCAAAAAAACAGATGTGAATATTTTCACATGCTTGTTCTTAATAGAATTAGCAATTTTTAGAGATAACATTGACGCATTTTTGCACCCAATTATATCACTTTAGCTAAGATTTCAGATGTGTCGATGTTGGCTTCCTGTCATGCCATGTGGAGCGCTTTAATGGCATTCATACTTGACAGTCGATTATAACACTCGTGTTGATTCAGGAAATACCAAATCTAAGAAATATGACGAATAGTTTCTTAATACGGCAACTCGCTTTGTTATGGTTCAAAAATCCTTTGAGGTTTTAAGCAACAAATAATTATAAGCTAAAATTAAATACTTTACGATCCTCTAAGCCCACAACCTTAACCCGCTGTCCGATATATGTGATATCTTTGAACCAATATGTGGTGCTCGACGGTACCGCTAAACATTGACATGCCTTTATATGTTAATATGATCTCCGGTATAAGTCATACTTTCTATACATATGAAAAACCGTTCTTAAATAGTTGAGTGTTTACTTTTTTCATTTATTTTTGGATATTATTTTAATCATTTCCAAGTTATGGTACAAGAAGAAAAAGGTCGATAGACCTTTTAGAAAGAAAAAGGTAGACGCCACCGCCGCCTATTTTCTTTGTACTATAAAACAAAATTGCTTAGATTTAATAGGTTTGCCATGATTATCTTTTGAGTGGATAAAGCCTGGCTGAAAATAAAATCAAAATTTTATTCTCTTTTGACGTATGGTATTTCCAAACCAAGTTTCCATAAAACTCAAAAAGAGACAAAAATAAAAGTCTGAAGTCACAATTTTGAATATTTCAGAAGGAATTTTTTATACGATCAAATAGTGGATTCAAATGCGAGACTAAGATTTGCAAGTCGTAACAAAATATAGGGACCTTGTGTATTATTAAATAGATAACTACATTGAAAAATTACAGAAACCCATGTGAAAACATACTCAGTTTTTTATGATTCTAACTAGGAGCCATGTATGAACTATTTGGTTGTCTTTATAAAATCCTTTTCAATGAGCTCTTCACTTTAGGGATTTTGTTTTGAAGTTTTGAAAAATCGTTAACATCTCTATACTTTTCTTAACATTTTTCAACATAAAAGAAATGTTTCTATTGATGGTACATTTTCAATAAACTGAACAGAAAGAAAAATTCAGGTTAAGTAGAATTCTTTAACTTCCAAAACTAAATAAATACAAAATGAGTCTTAAAGCGTGTTTGAAAACATCTATAGATAACTGATTAATACAGTGATTTTCGAAATGTGAATATAGATCTTTATCATATACAGCAATTATCCATCATAGTCGTCTTACATTTCGAAAATGATCAAATACAGCAGTTATCCGTCAGAGAATTTAGTGATCCACTATTTTAATAATTACTTAATTAAACATAGCTCTTAAAATATACATTTAGAAATATTTAGAGAAAGCTGCGCGTTTTCGTAGATGATTGTTCTGTTCATTACTTTAAATCCTTTAATAAAGTGTGTAACCGTCTGTCCGTATTGTCGGCTGTTATTTAGACCAACAATCCTAATAATATTAGGAGTATGCAATTACTCGTACTTCATTCTAATTTATACTAATGATGCGTTCCTAGTGAAAGTGCGTTGAAACTTCATATATACCAAAATCGAAAAACTATTTTGATTGTATTAAACAAAACAAATATTTTTTAATGATAGATTCTTTGTATTTTAAATAATCCTTTATTAGTTTTATAATAATTTAATTAAAATAATTCTTTGCATTTTATTTTTAAAGAAATACACTACAGACCCAGAAACAGGTGTCGTAACAAAAAAAGTTGACTTTTGGTCCGCAAGAATGTTAATAGACTTCATAGCCGGATGTGTTGGAGGTAACAAAAATCTACTTTTACTAAAAGCAAATTTAATATAAATCTAATTTCGAAAAAAAAGGTTGTGCTGGTGTATTAGTGGGTCATCCACTTGATACAATTAAAGTCCATTTACAAACACAAGATCCAAGAAATCCAAAATACCGGGGCACATTACACTGTCTCACTTCAATATTTGGTCAAGAGGGATTGAGAGGACTATATCGTGGAATGACAAGTCCTATGGCAGGCATTGGAGCTGTCAATGCAATTGTTTTTGGAGTGTATGGCAATATCCAACGCTTCAGTGATCACCCCGAGTCATTGCAATCTCATTTTATGGCCGGCAGTATTGCTGGAGTATTTCAAAGTATTGTTTGTTCTCCTATGGAACTTGCAAAGACTCGTGTTCAACTACAGCATGATGCACCGAATGCAATACAATTTAAAAGTCCCTGGGACTGCTTCAAGCATATTGTACGAACAGAAGGTATAAGAGGTACTTTTAAAGGACTTCCCGTAACAACTTTAAGAGATGTACCAGGTAAATTATTTGAAATAACATTTGTTTTTAATAGCTTGTTGCATTATTTGATTTTTATTATCAAGGATTCGCTGGATATTTTGTCTCATATGAATACCTCATGGGCTTACCAAGCTCTCCAAATGCTTTTCATTGCTTATTAGCTGGTGGTTTTGCTGGTATGTTTTCGTGGTTAGTTTGCTATCCTATCGACGTAGTTAAGACATGCATTCAAGCAGACGGAGGCGGTGGAAAACGCAAATATGATGGCTATATTGATTGCATGCGCAAGAATTACGCAACCGATGGTTTCCACTTCTTCTGGCGAGGCTTTTCATCAACTTTAGTCCGAGCTTTTCCAATGAATGCAGCATGCTTCTTCGTTGTATCTCTCATAATGGGCATGACAAAAACAAAAGATATCGACGTCGTTGTACAAACTGGAGAACCACTAGCAATGGTTGGTTTGGAAAATAAACAGTTCCACTACATTCATCAGCATGAGCAAAATAAAGAACGTGAAGAAGCTGAACGCAACAGGATTATAATTACCAGAAGCTTGCATACTCTTGACACATTCAATGAAGCGCTATGTAATTCTGAGGTTGAAGAAATGGCTAAAGATCTTTGCCGAAATCCTAGCTCCAGTGATACTGACAACAAATATTATATTTTTGAAGATAAGCGACTTAAAGATTCAATGCAAGCGATGGATGCAATGCAAACATTAGAAACAGTACAGAAACTAACAAAAAACCGCAGTCTAGATGCACTGAAAAAAGATTGCTGATCACTTATATATATACTTAATATAATTTGATTTTGTCATAACCATTCCTCCATTTTGTAAATTGACTGCAGCCATTGCTTGGAACCATTTTTGTAAAATAATAGAAAAGTAAATATATTAACGGCATTTCATTTGGAGCAAGCAAGCAAAGTTTTCTTCATTTTCTGTATCTAATATATTTTTACGGATCAACAAGTAAATGCCAACTTTTTATTTATATATACTCATTTGTTAGTAGTCAACATTTTTTAAATCTACTCATTATGTTCACATTAGGCAAAAACTAAAAGTTAACAAGAATAATGGAAAATAAAATTAAATAAAAAAAATATAACACTAAAAATAAAAGTTTATAATTCGAAATTAATTAGATCAGGGATTTCAACAAGCCATATCATCTTAATAAATTTCTTCAAATTTAGCTAGTATTGAAGTCCAGCTCAGTTAGTACTTTTACTTAATTTTTTGACTGAAACCACATTTATAGAGTATGATTTTAATTCTACTTTATTTTCTTTATTTTATTACTTTATGCTTCAAACACAGTACCTTAAAATAACATAATCTTGCGCTAATAATTAAAATGATCCCACCGATCATAAAGCCTTTTGTAATTTGTCGTAGTAAAAACTTTTCCAATATCCACATATACGTATATGGAACGCAAAAGGTAAGAAAATTTGCTATCTGTATAAAAATTAGTTGTCTAAAAACTGGACACAGACTGCAACCACGTTTTATCCGATAGGTTCTTATTCTCTTATTTCGAATTTGAGACAAATGGAATTTAGGAACCAAGTGAAATTCACAATTTTATTAATTATTCGGATAGTTCAAAATCATGTGTTCATAAGAATCCTATAAAGGATAGAGCACTGAAACTATTTACGAAAACTGACAGGCTTACCAAAACCATGTTATCGAATTCCAGAATGGTAACAAACTCCTCGGGAAGGTATGCAGATCTGAGGTCAGTTATTGTTTAGTCTGATGAAGTGATAAACAATAATACAGTCAAGGTGTAGAGAGGGATTATGAAGAAACCTAGTAGCTGGTTAAGAGTAAAAGTGCTTAAGTGTACTGTCTCAACTAGGCTCAACATAATAATAAAAAACGAAGTAGTTTATATAGTTCATTTCCAATTTGTATTGTGCATTAATCTTTACTTAACAATAACTTGTTCTTTAGTTGGCCCATATTACTACAGCTTTAATCAAACAAAGATCATTGATATTAATGTAACTTAATCTCTGTGTCTTTAACTAATGACATATAACAACAATACTAAAGTCCTGAAAGATAAGTTCGTGTCGATTTAGTAACACTGAAATATAAAAGACAATTCAATCCGTTGGGTTCGGGAAACAACGTTTTAAGTTCTGAAAGTAAAGTAAATAAAGTAAACACCCTACCTTTTTTAATTGCATTAAAATATCTAGATAATAAAGTCTAGATAATAGATAAAGTTTTTAAACATAATTTAAGTTTAATATAAAAATAGCTACTTTAAAATATCGACAGTTGCATTATTATATATTCAGTGGCTCATCCACTTATATATTCGAAAATACTCATACCATATTAAAACTATCGACATTCCTATTGTCTTATTAATCAACTTACTGAAAATATTTATATAATATGCATTTTTATTAACATGAAAAATATTTGGTTGTTTTTTTTTAAATATTAATCAACAGATTTAAAATCAAATCTGTACAGGGTAAGTAAATATACATGAAAATTAAATTTTTATTCGTAATTGCTGATGAGAAAAATACGAACAGAATATGCAGAACCAGCTATACTACTTCCAATCCCAACGTAAACATTAAATACCTTTAAGATAAAAATACTTGTCTTATTACTAACTACTACCAATAAAATTAAGATTATAGTATCACATTACGCTATTGATCCCGTTTTCATTTTTGAAATCACCTTTATTGAAATAAACTATTATTTATTGAAGTCTTAATATAATCGCTAATGCAACACAATAGAGTTAGATCGTATAATTTTGACGACAAATTTACTTTAGCATCTCAATAAATTTATTACATTCTGGGATACATGGCCTATTGTTCAATTTCTTTGAAATAACATAGCATCTACTAGCATTGTCTTCTTCTTTTTCAACAAAATATAGTCATTCACACCTCGAACCTATTGACCATATTAAACTGTCCATTTTTGTGAATACAAACATGTTTCATTAACAATATGAAGTTATTCCCAAAGTAAATCAACTAATAATTAAATTTACTATAACAAATATGATTTTTAGATAAAATAATATATCTGAAGTTGGTATAAAAACCAAATGAAAAATTTCTACATAATAAATGGTAACTTAGTTCAAGTACTTGAACATCAAATTAATCGAATTGCTTCGAACTACTTCCAGACCTCAGTACATAGCTTCAGCAATATATTTACAGTTTTGACTAGTTAGATTATTAACATAACAGTGTTAACCCATATTTTTCAATTACATTTATGAAAAATATGTAATATGAAGTTCTGTTTGTCAACCCAGTTGGCAAAAGTATCGATGTATCAGCGATACTGCATCGATACTTCGAAACCATCGATGCCACTACGATACCAAGTAAATTTTTATTTGTTTTTTTTTTATTTAACAATATGTCTTTTTTGAATCGCTTTAAATTAAAACCTAACAATAAGTTTTAGAATCTTGAAGACTAATAACATTACATTACAAATTATTTTATGTATTTTAAGGGGCCTCTGAATAAGTAGCCAGGGCTTAATTACCAGATAACACGGCGTATAAGTTGAATTAGTCAGGGTGATCTTTTGGAAAGCCGGATGGCGGCTCTATCATTCCGTTTCAGTCTAAAGAAAGTTGTTTTCAAGTTTTGAAAAACATTTTTGCCTTATTCTCTCGAACTCATCTTTAACGATCGGAACACTCAAATCGAAATTTATGTTTTTATTTCTAATATACCAGGGTGTACCAGTTATCATTCTTTGCATCTTTGCTTGAACTCTTTGCAGGATTTCTACGTTTGACGAACAGGCATTGCCATATAGCTGTAAGCCATACATCCAGATTGGCTTAATGACTTGCTTGTACAACAAGACTATGTACTCTAAACATAAGGAAGACTGATGCTTGATTAGCCAGTGAAAGCTTATACTTATGATTGAAGTACTGCGTGTGAATACAAGGTACAGTGACGTACCGTGTATACCACGCGCCTTCCGAATCTAACCATAACCTAACTGCGTGTGAGTTTTGCAGGAGTATTTGTAGTATTTTGTAGATCAGGCCCTCATGCCATACTTTATCGAACGCTTGTGCAACATCTAAAAATACACCAGAGCAATATTCTCGCTTTTCAAAAGCGCTTCGTTTTCCGTTAGTTATTCTGTTCACTTATTCGATAGTACGATGTTTTTGACGAAAGCCAAAATGATGACTCCATCAGATCTTGTTCTTGGAGAAAAGGCATAGCTTTTACTAGGAACACTTTCTCAAACGAGTAAACCAAACCGAACCAAGTAAATTAAAACCTATTTCATTACTTTAAATTAAATAAATCTATATTTGTAATACCAGCAAATATATGAAACAACAACACTGCTGGCTTATGTAGTCCAACCTTTTTGAAACCCAAGACTGAACACCTTTTTAACAAAAAATGTTAGCCCTTAACTTGTTACATTTTGAATATTAAAATTAGCAAATAAGGCAGATGCATTGAATTTCACAATTAAGCATCAACATAACCGAATATCCTTTACTGTGTGTATGATATAGGACCAATAGAATTATAGCAAAATTTTGAAGCAAATGCATTACGGTCGTATGGACTTTTAAGATGATGAACGAGCACCGACAATAAAAACCACACATAATGACTATCATGATATTTTCTATCATGATAGTCAAATAAGTTCTTCGAAGTGTTCATTATATATTGCGGTACTCATTCAAAAGAAAAGTAAGATATCTACGAACTTTGAACAAAGATTAACACAAACAAAGGGGCTATGCGCACACTTCGTGTCTTAAACTCTGACAGACGATCAAAAAAACTGAATTAATTATTTGATTGCCATGTTACATATGTCTCGAAGGAGCTCGTTGGCAAGTAACTGATAATCAAATATGGTGTCTCCAATAGAAGCCGAAAACAAAATTTCAAAGCGTAACACGAATTTCGCCAAGAGAACTGAAAAAGAGAAACTTATGCTTCAAAAGAGCAAAATGAAGATATTGTTGAAAATTTTCATCGATTCAAAGAAAATTGTTTACAGTGAATTCAGCCCAAATGGTCAAATTGCGAATACAGAAAGCAGAGTTTTGTTATAATTGTGAGTAAAACTTAAGCAAAACTCAGAGTATCTAAAACCAGGTAGTTATGGACCAGTTAGCTATAATGGTACCAAAACATCCAGCATTCTTATCGATCATGCACTGTATTCATCAGACTTTTTACTGCATCTTATGATGCATCGATCTGACTAACGAAAATACTTTTGTAAGATTTTGAAACTGATTGCTCATAAGATGAGCATAAAGAATTAACAAGTGTTAATTGAAATTCTGCTTTGTGACATTTTATAAAATGAATAGATTATATATTATCAACATCATCAAGAAGATGGTATTATGTGTCTTGAGATTAATCTTCAAATTTACGACATGAAGACATGCTTCCCACAAGAAAATTGTAATTATTGAACTTACATTTTCTGTGTTATATAAAAATGAGATTTTCATGATTAATCCTACAAAAGAACTTTTAATAACCTCGCCACGTTCAACCTCACCACGATTAATGAAAAAATGAACACAACCTTAATTTTCGAACGGTTTTGTGATAGCTTTTTTGTGTTTCTACACAACCACCTCAGAGTATATTGTACCACTCGTAATCTTGACTCATTGGATAAATGTAAATCAGTGTCGGTGCATTATTAGGAACCGCTAAGACTATTTTTGATAACCGTTTCATTCATTGTTCTTCTGCCGAATAATATTCTAATATCTGACTGCATATATGAAATATCATTGTTCTTTGAAACGTAATCGTAGCTACTCATTACAGTGATATCAAAGGGATTTTATATTTTTAAGCTTATAAAATTAATTTGTTTATTTTCCAAGCAAAATGCAATTATTAAACAAAAAACACCCTAAAATAACTTCAATAATGTGCCAACTACCTGGTTGTTGAAATGACATCAACAACCCATGCAATGGTTTCCATGGGAAATTTAGAATTTTTCTTTATTGTATGAAAATATTTTGACAGCTAGACAGAATATTTATACCGAAGTGAAAATATTTATTTCAGAAGAAAATTTTGTAAATAAATTAAAAAAAATTAAATAACATAAATATTTATTTTAAATGTTTACAGATTACACCCTCAAGAAAATATTGATTGTGTTAAATAAATTTTTGTAACAAAATGTCGGAACACGGTTCAGAAGACGAGGATAAGGAACTTCAAGTTTCACCCACACAAGTCGTAATTGATGCAAAAGAAATCTTCCCAAGTTCTTCCCAGTCTCTTTCTACTGAGAATCTCAGCCTCAGTTATGTGCCAACTTTCTCAACAGAATGCGAGGTAGAGGAAGAAATGTCAGAAATGACACCAGAAGAGCATAAACCATCGCTTACAAGTATTATAGCGGAATCGGAACGTACTGGCCCAACATGGGATAAAATAAATAAAATTTGTGATATTGAGGGCTACGACTTTGATGAGGAAAACTGTGCTGATATACCAAGAGCAGATATATGCCCATCAATAATTAGCGAACAGAAAACTGAGACGGAGTCAACAATATCAATGCCACCAAAAAAATCATACGTTAGGGAATTAATGGAAAAGCAGCATAAAGAAGCTGTACAATGGTTAGAAGAACGTAAAAAATTGCAGGAGGAGGAGGAAGAGGGTCCTAAAATGCAATTTACGAAAGACGATGCACAAAATTTAATGCATATTTATGATACAATTTTTAAGGATGATCTCCAAGATGCTCTAGAATTAGAACGAAAAGCTATTATTGATTGCTATGATAATATGGAAATAAAAGTTGGTTCTCTTGATACAGAAGATGATAAATCAAGCTCCTGCGCAGGCATTCTTAATGAAGAGAAACCACAACCTTACACTTTAGATAATGAGTATTTAGCACCAAATCATCCACTTATGAAAAAGTTTCAGCAGATGTTACGAGACCATCTATTATTTGTAAAAGGTGATATAAAGAAGGAAATTGATGAACTCAATTTAATTCGTAAAAAATATGAACAGAATAAATTTGATCTCGCACACAAGTTACACAATTTACGTAAAGAAAGTAAATCTCAAGAACCAATTGTAAAAGCTATCCAGGACGGTGTTGAAACTTCTTCAGTAATTCGAACTACGAAGGAAAAAAATATTCAAGAATTAGCCGCAAAACACGACGAAAAGAAGAAAGCATTCAATAAGTTGAAAGCTGATTACGATCGTCTGTCATATGATTTGGAAAATATACAGAGAATTAGTTTTAGCATAAATAAATGGACGGATGAAGCCGAAGGAGAAATAAAGGCCGCGAAACGTGTTATATGTAAAGATACAAAATTACAGAAGGACATGTGGGAAGAACAAAAGAAAGCAGATATCATTTACAATTATATGGATTTAGAATTAAAGAAGTATAAGAAACAACTGGCTGCAGTACGCGAAGTGATCCAAGATGCTAATACATCGATTCCCAAATTACAATTATGTAAAAGCAGAGCAACTGTTGATATTGAGTCCTTACAAAAGGAGTATGCTGCACTATCAGGACGCTGGCGAGAAGTAATCACTGCAATTGCACAACGCGATAAACTGTTTGATCAACTACAATACGATATTAGGTGAGTTAATACAAAACTTTCCCTAACAATTAAATTATCTTTATTAAAGTACATTTCTAAACAAAACTAATAATAAAAGTTTTTCTGCTTACAAACAGCGACACCTATATACAATATGTAAAAGTTTATGCGTAGAATGGAGAGGAATTGCAAACCTTAAATCTTCAAATTGTTAAGCATTCAATGTAGATGATGCCCGAGCCTATAAATATCCTTAATGTTTTATTTATACACACTTTACAACAAGGAAGAAAACGTCAACAGTTTTTCAGAATCGATTACTATTTTAAGCTACACGACATCCTCGTCTCCAAGTCTAGTCTAGTAATTCACTTTTTACATCATTTGGAATAGCAAGAGTGCTTTGTTTAATTAATAGTTAAGAATCCATAATCACTTCTATAATTTATTATGGGTTTTTTATGTTGACCATACTGGCTTGATTTTTCACCTCGATAACCGGTTTGATATTTGCTTAGGGCACCAAATACATGGAATTCACAGTAGGTATTTATAAAATAGTCGCCTACAATCAAGCTTTTCTAAGAAAATGAAAGGATAATGTAAATCATCTAAACTGTGACTAAATTATTGCACGCCATTAGAAAACTCCAGGTTTTCAAATTGTATGAATGCGATTTCTTGAATAGTCTATCTACCGTTTCCGGCTGAGCGTATTATTTTGTCAAAGGCTTATTCAAGTTAAATGGGTGCTATGTTGCAACTTTGTCTTACACCAGTTGTTACTTTAAACAACGCATATAGTATACCTTGCACTTGAACTAGTGATACATTTGATCTTACTGATGATTTTTGGGAATATAAACTGATTGCAGCGAAGATGATTCTCATAGTATTTACACTCGTAGTATCCATGCAGTACCGAATAGATCTGTCACATTTTGTTGTGGTTGAAACGGTATGAATTCACGTATTATTCGCATTCCATTAAATCAAGTTCCTTAGGAATATTAACATGAATTTCGTCTCTCTATGGCTCTGAAAAGGTTTCTTCGGTCCAAACTTTTTGTAGGACTATTTATATCTAATCTAAGCAATTACAATATTATAATTGTTTATTATAGCGAATTTTTCGAAATTGAGACTTTTATTGAGTTTGCACTTATAGTCATAAAACTAGCTACGATGTAATATTTACAAATTATTGATAACTGTTAGATCATAATGCACGCTATAGCTAGTGCTTTATTTTACAACCCTGAGTATGCCATAGAAATATATGTTCCGTTAATTTCAACGTAAAAACTCTACAGTATATAAAACATTTCTAGCTTGATTATGATATTAGTGCCAGCTTCCACTAAAATACCAGCAATTTGTGCCGTCTTGTTGGAACCAAATGTCGCCGATGTTTAACTGAATAATTTTTAAAAACAATGATTAGATAGCGGTCGCCATTCACCGTAACGGCAGCATGTAAACCGCACCAAACAGCCAATTTTAATAAATGCAATGGTAATTCGGTAACGGCTTGAGATTTATCTTCGCTCCATACATGGCAATTTTGCTTATTGACGTAGCTGTTGGCCATAAAATGAACGAAGTGCTTTATGAACTTGGAAGACAAATTTATTTTTTTCAAAGTAAATTTCCACATTTTGGAAACGTTGTTTCACTTTTTTTATTGTCGTACGTTTTATGTTATCCTATATTTCCGATATTAAGGAGCTCTTTGACATTTGCAGTCAACTCATTCTATATTTTAGTTTATTGCAGTATAACTAGTGGACCCACTATTATATATAATAGTAGTAGCATACTGCTGCTAGTACTTTTTAGTATATTCATTGAATTGTATGAAATTTATATATGCTTTTCTTTATTCTAAAAATTTATTTAATATACATATGTATAAAAGTAATCTATAAATCTATAATCTATAATAAAATATACGCAATATTCATGTTATATTAAAATAAAACAATAAAATATACAATTTTATCTGTTTTGACACAGCGAATCCAAAGAAGCTAGAAGGTTAGATGTAGCAGCTATAGATGCAATCAAGAAGAAAGCCCTGAAAGCAAAAGTATTAAATGATAGACTTAAAGAATTTAGAGAACATTTGCGTTTCGAATATGATGAAATAAATAGAGATAGTAAGTTCGGAAAGTTATCTACTCTATTTATTAGATAAAAATATCTTTCTATATTTTCAGTGTTGCTCGATATGGAAGCAATGAATACTTTGGAGAAAAGACTTGAAGAACTACCTTCTTTACTTAGACAATCTGAAAGAGACTATAGGCGCGGTAAAAAAGAACTGCAACGATTTGAAGCAAATATCAATCGTTTACAGTTTAAAATGGAAAAACAAGACTTAAGAAAATACAAAGCTGATCAAGCCATGTTACAGTCAGCTCAAGAACAACTTTTAACAGAGAAGGCTAGTACATATCGCTTAAAATTACTAGACGAAATGCAAGTGAAACGGCGTACCATGGAGTTAAGTCTGGCAAACTCCCAAGTAAGATTATCCAGTTTAACTTTACATATGGAGAGCTTTAAGAATGTCCTTTTGCGACTTTATAAAGAAAAAGAAGCCATAGCTGGAGAATATGATAGAATTAATGGAATTTATGAAATTTATATTGGTCAACAAAATGTTTTAAATCAGCAAATTAAAGTTAAAATGAATCAAATTGAAGGACTGTCACGTAAATATAGCCATTTGGTGAGAATATCGGAAATGGGAGACAGTCCAATTGAAATTAGAGTAAGTTAGAATTAAAATGTATTTTCAGAATGTGCACACTAATTCTTGTGAAAATTATTTGCTACAGTAACTTTTATAGATTTTGATTTTTTATTTATACCAAATCAAACAGGACATTTAAAAAATATGTATTCGTACTAAAGTCATCTATTGGCAATAAGAAGTAACGGTTATGTCAATATGTTTTCTGCTGAAAGTCATCGTGCGCCAAATCGTGACCACACGGGAACTTTGGCCAAAATATTCCTAACAAAATACCTATAACTAGAATCGATGGTTGTCACTTTTTTAATATATTGCAAGATATGCAATATAATATATTTCACATAGCAAACTTCTATTAAATCTGTCTTTCTGTCAATAAATTCTTATACAATTATTTATACATTTAATTAGCATGATTAAATTGGAGTAATTATCTCATGTAGATAATTATGGTCAACAATATTTTAAGCAATAACTCGAAAGAGAGAAGTCGATTCAACAGTTCGCCTGTATATAAGTATATCAAAAATCATAAGTCAGTGTATCGAAACTTTTCACAAAAGTTAATATAACCAAAATACTGGTAATGTGATGTGGTTTTTAATAGTTTTTATTATAATATATGTTTGTTAGCTTTATTATTACATATACATATATGTTAATAACTATGCAAAAACCTTTTTCCGTTCATGTTGACATGATTAGATAGTTAAAAGTCCTTATTACTGTAAATATTAAAAATAGTCCTCTTATGGAAACAATTAATACTAGCTTGGATAAAAAAGGATATATATGTATATTATTTTCTCACCCCACTTAATATTCATGTTTATTATTATGACATATATAACATTATACAATGGATTGTAATATATTATGCCTATTTTGTCTATAACAGATTTCGATAGCAGAGAAAAAGATATCTCAGGTTGAAGACGTATTAAAGGATTGTCAGAAGTTTTGGTTAATGTTACAGAACTACTTCATGAATATGACAGGAAAGAGAAATATACAAGTGAATGCACTAAATATAGCTGAGCGACGTAAGAAGCAAAATTATATCTAATTTTAAAAGATTTGCTTTATCTAATAATTTTTTTTTTGCCTTAGAATTTTCAATACTGAAACAAAAAAATATGGGATTAGATGCAACTATTACAGAAATCTCCAGACAAGGTGCTGAACTTGAACGCGATGTAGTAACGACTAAAGTGAGAGTACAATATCTCAATAGTGCATTTCACGAGCAACGTAATAAGCATAAAGACGACGAAATAGAGTGCGAGTTTGATCAATTAGAAGTAATGGAAAATCTAAAAGTAAGTAAAATGAAACGGAAACAAAATAATAATACTCATGACTTATAATAAAGAACTAATTCATCTTTATCTAAAATCATTTTACTATTTTGGATAAACAATCAGACTTACCTACAAGTTTTTGTCATAACGTACATTAAGCCTGGAAAGTTTATCGTGTTCCATTAAACTTATTAATTCCTTTTAAACTTCTTTATGATGCCAAATTTTAAAACCGTTTCAAAGAAAAGTCCGTTTATATATAAAATCCTTTAAATCCTAGGAGTAGCATAGCGCCTCGAAGTTCATTGATTCATTTTTTGAAATCAAAAAATTAAAAAATAAAACAAATAATTATTGGTCTGATCTGAGCGTATCTGAGGGTCCTATTTAATTTCTCGTTAACAAGACGTTTACATATGATATACTAAGAAAAAAAATTCAAACTAATATTTTTAAATATTTTGAGGAATAGTAAATTTATAATAAACAAAAGCAAATTTAGAAACGTTCCTAAATTCTTCTCAAACACCCCTCGTACTTTATAAGATCTAGATTATACTTCTTATTAAATGGCAGACATTCAATATTGTTATTACAATTCGTATCATTACACTCGTATGAATGTGATTAAATTCACTCAACAGACGACAAGAACAAAAGTTATTATTAAATAAATCAAAAAGATTTGAGAAACAGACATAATATTTAAGACTTCTATCGGACAAGTCTTCTTGCATCAGATTGTTCTTTCAGGACGCATGAAGGAACTCTCTACTGTAACAAACTTCACTTTTTAAATTGACGAAACTCTGCTCTATGTGATATATCAACTTGGTACAGTTCAAAACAATAAGAAATGATTGTATACATTTTCTATTTTGGTACTAGAAGTGCCTGACTTCTCTAAATATTTAAATTGATTCTATATTATCTAATAAGAATGTCGAAATTAAAAAGATAACATATTTTGTAGAATGTAATTTACAGGATTAGATGATTGAAGTGTTACCTATTCAAGTGACCACAACTTTTTTGTGTGAAGTTATTTTTTATTGATTTAAATTACACAAAAATTTATGAAAATAATCTAAATTTTAGAATCCACAGAATTACTCTAGGACTTTCAAAATCAAAATGATCAGATTTACGTGACAAGCCAATGGTTCAACATAGTAAACGATGTACGCAATAAGCGGATTGCTGACATGAAAAGCGACCATTACTTAATTATCCTCGAACCCCAAATGAAGTTGTGCCCAAAAAGATCAAAAAAGTCAAAAGTTCAATGTGAGCAAACTGAAGAGCGAGAAAACTAGACGCGAATTATCAAATAAAGTCAATGCATTGAATCAAGAACAATCCGAACGAACTGATTTAGGAATCGACGATCACTGGGAGTTTTTAGTAATAAAATCCAACACATCTGCGATGTTTCACTGGGTTTCTCGAAAAATGAAATCAAAGAGTGAATATCTAAAAACACGATGGAGCTAATAAAATAAAGAAGAAATGTCAAAGAACAACGCGCGGATGACGCAAAAAGAATGAATTACAGGTGAAATATAAGGCCCTCAGCAGAAATGTTAAGCGTCAAGTTAAAACCGACAAGCGAGACTATTACAACCAACTCGGACACTGTATAAACAGTTGCTAGTAAAAACGATCTAAAAGATAATAAGGGAAATAATCGGACCAAACACATTTAAAACATCACCTATATAGAACGACAGCGGTGAGCTGATCACATCGAAAAAAAAAACACTTTAAACTGTAGAAAGACCATTTCCAAAAAATTCTAAATTTAGTACAAAACTTGTCTGCTAGTAATCTAGAAGCTCGAAGACGATTATACCCAACTAGAAGAGTCAAAATTGATCTGCTTTCATTTGAAGAAATATGCTCTGCCCTTAAATTACCTAAAAGTGGGAAAGCAAGCGGCTGCAATAGTTTACCTGCTGAGCTCTTTAAAAATAACCCCCAAACAATGACAGGACTCTTATGTCCATTGTTTGGGAAAGTATGGAAAAGTGAAAATAATAATAAGTCAATAATTCTTAAGATCACCAAAAAAAAGAATCGACGAAAGCGTGCAAATACAAAAATATATATGGGCAATATATGGGCAACATTACACTTAAGGGGCGTCCCAGATGAGATCATAAGCGTTATAAAAAACCTGTATCAGAATTCCATCTCCAGGGTCCTCCGCGATGGCGAACTTAGTGATTCTTTTCAAACCCAATCTGGGCTTAAGCAAAGAAGCGTTTTATCCCACTTCTGTTGATCACAATCCTAGAAATGATATTTGAAATATCTGAATAAATGCCTCCTGGTATTACTTGGAATTTGATCGAGAAACTAAGTGAACTCAGTTATACATACGATGTAGCTCTGTTGTCTAGTAGGCCCTCTGACCTGCAATAATCAATTTAATGAAGCGTAGCAGTAATGAAGCGTAGCAATTTGGACTAAAGATTAATTCCACTAAAACAATGACCATGCGACTCAATGTGCGCAACGTAAACAGTTTCTTCATTGATAATGAACAAATTGAGGATGTTGCTAAATTTCAATATATAGGGCAGCCACTTTACAACTGACAGCGGAACATGAGCTGATGTTGAAAACAATCAAAAAAGCAAAAATTTCATTTGCCAATCTTGCTCGCGTATGAAAAACAGTATCAATTTAACTAGAATCAAAGATAAAAATGTTCAATGGATGTGTTAAATCAGTGATGCTATGTGGGAGCGAAACTTGGCATACCACTTCCTCGATTCTACAAAAACTACAAACCTTTGTCAATCGCTACCTAAAAAGAATAGTAGGTGGCCAAGAATAATCGCGAATAAACGATTGTGGCGATTCGCCTATCAGAGGGAGATCAGCAAAGAAATAATTAAGCGCAAATACGGTTAGCTGGGTCATACTCTACGTAAAAATAGATCGGCAATTTCACATGCTACGCTTAAATGGAACCCTCAAGGCAAAAGAACTGTAAGAAGATTTAGAACGACGTGGAGACATACAATGCAACGGGAAACATCCAAATCGATTAACGAATTATGACATATGGCTAGATATAGAGAAAATCGGAAATTATTTGTAAATAGGCTGAGTTCTTAATTATTGTAATGAATACCATGCCAAAATAAATTCACTCTAGCTCGATGTGGTCACCTTTTGCTTTAACTATGGTCTTTAAACGATTAAAGAATGAGTTGCATGCTTCACGAATATGAACTTCCGGTATTTTGGCACATTCCTGAACAGAAGCTTCCTTCAGCGCACCCATATTGGCATATTTTTTATTCCTCACCTCGATCTCCAAAATAGTCGAGAGCAAGGACGAAATAAGGTACAAGGTATGGAACATGAATCTTATTGGAACGTCCGAATCTTATTGGAACGTCCATGGTCTACGACCGAAATGTTTGCGTGCCCACGACTCTAAAGCAATTTTCAAAACATTTCCTCGATAATAAATCGCATTGGCTTTGATACCAGGCTCGATGAAAAGAGTCTATCCGCGGCAACATCTACCCATACCATTACTCAAGATGGAAAATTACTTCGGGTAGCTATTCGCGGACTTAAATGGCATTGAACGGCAGTGTATTCCGTTAAGTAAACACGATAATTTTGAAATCATTATAAACTGCTCAATGGAGAAATTTTTCTCATTAGAGAACACAATGTTTGGAAATTCGACATGTTCGTGCATGCGTAACAACTCCTTTGCTCTTTCGAGTCTGACTTTTTGTTGCTTTGGTGTAAGAACTTGTGCCTTTTGGAACTTGTAAGGCTTTACCTTAAACTCATTTTGGAATGTGCTTTGGATGCTTCGCTAGAGTATTTTCAGTTCTTTAACCATTTGATTACCACTACGAAATGTATTCCCTTTAAGTTGTGCCTTCACTTTCTGAACCAAGTGCTGTTGCTGTTTTTTTTCGTTCACGTTTAGTGGAAGCGTCACTGTTATATTAATACGAGCAATAGCTGGTTGTGATTGTCCGGTCAAATATAACGCAATCACATCATTACGTTTGAATTCCATTTCAAATACTGTTTGTTTGTGGTAGCTTGTGAACAATATAAACAGCTATCATTCGTATGAATTTCACGTAGTTGGCAATATCATTTTGACAGATATACCTGTATGTAGTTGGTAACAATTCAATCGCTTAACCCTGTAGTAACTTAAACTAAGTACAATATATATTTATAATATAATTCTAATTATTTATTTCTAGAATAAGGAAATGGAAATGTTGCAAATGGAAGATGAAGTAAGTGATTTATTTAAAGATGTTGAGACTTACAAAGATCTGGTGTTAGATTTGCACCGCGAGGCTCTATCGTGGGAAGCGAAATATAAAATAATAGAAGATACCATGGCTTGGCGTAAGTCTTCGCATGATAGCCAAAGTGAAATCACAGAAATGAAGAACGAAATTCATCGTATGGAGATACGCTTCAAGCAATTAGTACGTGCTCAACAAAAATTAATACAGGATCTTGAACATTGTGTCATGCACCGTGAACGTATTTATATTACTTCCGTATTAACACGGCAGGCAGAAAATAAATGGAGACACTGTGACGATCACATTCAACTACGACGTAAATTAGAAGAAAATAAAGTAAAAGTAGACATCCAACGTAGAAAAATTCGGTCATTAAAGAAAAGAGATGAGGAAGCTTGTCCAAATGTACAAGCAATAAGTAACAGAATATCTAAAATAATTGAAGACATGGCTACTGTGAGAAATGAAATGCGTGCCATCGATGTTGAAATCGTAGAGGTATTGAATGTAAAATATCAATATCTGGAATTCACCGTGCGTTCCCAAAAGCACTCTCAACGTTATCAAAAATTTACTAAAACTATTAAGACCACAGCAACCTTGCCAAGGATGCGATCTGAAGCTAAAGTTGATCAAGCTGCTCCACACCACGTTGAAAGAATACGTGATTTTTTGCAATTTAGCACTAATATGATTAAACGCTTTCCAGAGAAAAAAATTATGTTATGTAAAGTGATGCATATGTCTACAGATTAGTTTAATTGGACTATTTTTTATGTTTGTAAAATTTAAACAAAAAATCTATTAATTAAATTTTTGTTTACTTGAAAACTGTAGAAATAAAAACATTTCTGACATTATTGTGTGTAAAAGTTAAAACAGCTGAAGGCATATATTACTTCTTAATACGTAACCCTCGATCTGATTTACTAATTATGATATTAAAAATTCTCAACTGGTGGCCCCAATTCAAAGGATTGAGTGTCTTATTTATTATGTCTGGTTCCAGCACAATAAAATGCTTCATTCCGTTGGAAATCAAGAAAACAAAAAATATTGAGCAATTATTCAGTTTTTGCAGTGAGAGCGAAAAATATTTATCTGGTATTAATTATTTATTACACCCATTTGCTAGCTAAGGTTCTAGGCTTCAGTAGCAATGAGCCGTTTTATTATATATGCAATTTTTGAATATGTTAATATATTTTCACTATTCACTATTAATATATTTTAACTTTTTTTCATTAGACACAGTTTTTAAAAATAGTCATGATGTATTAGAGAGATATATGATAAAAAATCAATCATATCTTTAAGTTTGACGAATGTGATGGGTCTGGAATGATAATATGAACGTTTTAGCACTATATTTCCATAGTTCAGTGGTCTTTTCTGTGAAAGCATGAATTTAGTGTTTTAAGATCCCCATATTGAATGTGGTTTGCTTTTTAAAACCCTTATCCAACATATCTTCAACCAATTTACTTATTCACCATTGATATTTTTTCTGCTTCTTAGAATTGCATCTCTTAAACATTTTGTAGAAAAACAGATGGTTTCACTTCATGCGAAATATCCATTATTTATTTTCGGTATTGTTTTATGATAGTATAATATCACATTCAAAAAATCATATTTTCTATAGTACATTATAGTTTCAAAATGGGCATCATTTGGTAGATTAGAGTACCCCAGATAAGTGACCTGTTACATATTACTGCGTAGTCGTATTTTCAACTTTTTGTATATTTACTTATTACTTTCTCTATTTCAGTTAACAAAACATTTTATTTTTAAATACAAGCTTTGATAAATCTGTCATTATATGGTAAATCTGAAGACATCGTATGTTTAGTCTAGGATTGTCATTTTTTTAATAAGATTAACTGCAAAAATATAAAAGACTTTTCGCATCGATTTTTTCTAGTGATGCACCCCATTTTTTGCTTGATAGATATTTCAACAAAAAAAAATGTTCACATCTGGGGAAGAAAATATCAACAATCCCCTAAAAGTCATTGTATGGTTTGGCGTATTGTCGGAAGTTGTGTATTCATCAAAACGACGAAGGTTTGACACAAAGCGCCAACTCTGACCGTTTATTTCACATGATTATTAATTTATTAGATGATATAGATGTAGTAGATATGTGTGGATATAAAAAGACTATGCCACTAGCCACAAGTCACATAATAACTCATGTTATTTGGTAATATTACGATATGTAATTTTATAATTCTACGTTTTAGTGATGTGAATGATCAACCAAGATCATTTTATTCGTCATCACTAGTTTTTTTCTATTACACAAAATATCAAATTTAAGTGAACAATCTTTAAACTTTCGTCGATTCGAAACATCTTGATAAATTTCTATCTGCCACAAAGGTCTGATGTTTTAAGAGGTCTCGTCTTGGTATTTCACACCAAATCTCAATCACAAGTGTGGTTTATTTACGGGACCACAAAATGCATAATTCTATATAAGTAAATGCACAAATTATATTGCTCCTTTTTATTCATATTAAATCATAATTAATAATTAAGGTTTTTCAAAATTTTTTTTTGCATTAACATGAGAGAGAATTAAGTCACTTTTTAAAGATAAAAGGAAGATTTCGGTAAAGCTTATGTATTCTATATACAGTAAAAGCTGTTTCAAGCGAACACTGATAGGTCAACAATTCTGTTTAAATAAAAGAACTGACTAAAGACTAGGAATTCAATTCACAGATTCAGTGGCACAAAGAGATGCCCACGGAACAAAGCTTTCACTGTAATAATAACATTGAACTCGAATACGGTCAACGCTGCAAAATGGGAAGAGCAATCGAATTATTGTCAAATCATGTGAGAAAAAAATTAATTAGAAATAATGCAAATATAAACAATGTCAATTTTAATTAATAACGATTTTTGCAAAAAAGGTAAATAAAATAATATATAAAGTATAGGTAGGTAAGGCTAGTTTGTGCTGGCAGTCCTAAAAGGCGACGCGTAGATCATTAAGTTCCATTGCGATACCAAAGTAAATTAGTATAAGTAAAAAGAATTTCTGAAAATCAGCACAAATCTAAACTTTCAAAATTTATTAAAAATTATAAAAAACAAACTGAGAAATATTGCCTACAATTATATCTCAGAAATAGCATCTGTAAGAATACCACCATTTAAAGAATAAGAAAAATTGTCTGAACCAGAAATTGATTTGTGGATTTTGCTATGTTAGCCGTTAATATAAATATAGAAATACACCATTATTAGGTATTAAGAATAGAATAGATAGGCTTGAATTTGTTTCGTCTTGTAGAATTGGTTCTTGGTTGCTTGGCTGTATATTTGGTATATACCAGGTACAGCTGGTCGAATCTGTTTTACATCGCGACTTTGTAGAATATATTTAAACAATATAGAGAGATTTCTTAAAAAGTAGTGAATTACAACAAAAATTTTTGTTATTTTATTTTAATTAATTGAATTTTTTGCTAATCATACATCTGTTTCCAGTAGTACGAAATACCCATCATCAGAGGTCTTGAAATTATTTCTTAAATTAAATTATTCTTTAATAATTTATGAGACTTGAGGTACCAAGGGTTGAATTAATGTCCTGCTAAATTTGGAGCTCAAAGTAACCTCTCTACCAAATACAATAGTTTCTTTTAAGCAAAATAATCACTTTCGTAATTAATGATATTAAATTACAACTATAAAGAATATAATATTAACAACACTATCTAATTTGATGTTGTCTTGTTTTCTAGATTCTTGTAGTTTGATTTTTACTCTGCAGTGGTAGTAATACTAAGCTAATTGTGTATAGTCATAATAGCTATGCTATGTTGTTGTTAGGAAAGGTATAATCTTATATTGGTTTTGTACAATAATAAGTATCATTTTCGTCATTCTGGCATCACAGTCCAGAATGGACCATTGCCTCTTTTTTTTTTAAGCCCAATCTTGCGACTATAATAAGTATATATGTATATAATTCGCGAAAATGTGTGATTACACTAATAACGTGTGAAAATAACGTATGAGTTACTGCAAATAATCATATCATATATCACAACTTGCCGGACTAACAACAAATCAAGTCAAAAAAATAAAAAGTTTTTCGACGAAAACGATTCACTTTACCAAAATTATTACCTTCAAACTCACAGAATTTAAAAGCATATTGAATAAGTATTTTAGATCATCATGCAGTATGTATCTTTCAGGATATCGACACAAGCCTTTTAGTATACAAAACGTTTTCCCTTCATTGACAAATGCATTTTTCTGAACAAAATATCACGCAGCAACAAATCTTATCTTAATAAATAGAGAAGGTGAGTTACATTACAGAGAGCACGTAATTTGCTAATAGATAATCTCATTAGAAATATCTCTCAGTTATATTAAAAAGCTGCTTAAATTTTATACAGCTGCAAATTGATCAACAGATTGATTCAAAGTACACAAAGTCCAGAATTCAACTATAATATTAAAAAAACTCTTAAGAATTTGCTTTTTATTTTCAACAGTCCGTAGTTTAAAAGAACATATTTAACGTATTTTTTATTTAAAACCACCAGTTCAATTATTTGATCATTATTTATTTGAAACGTTTGCTATATTGTCTGTTCATTAATCCGAGAGTCAGCCGTATCCAGCTGTTTATCTGTCCAGTTAGAAAATATCTATTAATAATGAATCAATGAATTATAAATATCAATGGAAAATTTTTATTTGACTGATCAACAATCCCGAATAAAATTACTTACCTTCTTATCAAATTAACGTTTGAAATTTCGATTAATTGCTAATATGATTTCAGTGTTTCTTTTTTATCACTAGCAATGCTATGAACAAATACTAAACAAGACCTATTTTCAACGTGAGTCTCCAATTTTTAGTATAATCGCAACGGACCATGAACCCAATCGTTCGGAACCCGACTTTAGAATTTTATGCGATCCACAGCTCTAATTACAAATGATGCAAGTAAATGCTACCAGAAGTGAATTATTGACCTCCTTACTAATATTGGAAATTGACACCTTAACTCGGCGCTAAGAACCGAGTTAAGGTAATACATAGTAGTGCTGCGTATTTTTCTATTACAAAAGTACAGTAACGAAATCATTGAAGTTTTGCAAAATCTGTCTACAACTACTGAGTCGAAGGAATTAATAATGTCAATAGTTATTATTTAATCTCTTCACAAATATGTTGCTCGTATATTTCTTAAATTGATCAATAACAATTGAAAATACTTTTTGCCTTCCAATATAAAGATTTATTGCTTTAATTCAAGACTAATATCGTTTTCTGTATCGTTTTATTTATTTAAATTGATTTATAACTACTGAAAAACTTATTGATCTCTCTAGTAACTCTCTAGGATTTGTAGATTCGACGTAGTACTAATATAACCGTGGAAAAACTGATTCGTCATTCCTCTAATATAAAGCTTCGATGCTTCAGTATTAACCATATTGTGGCGTCATGTGCTTACTAAACTGATCAACAACCACAGAAAAACTGATTTATCCTCTTATTAATATGGGAAGATTTAATGGTTTGACACAGAGCCAATATTATTACGGTACGATCTGTCTATTGAATTGATCAGCCGCGAAAAAAGGGATTCGCCTTGCTACTAATATGGGTCTTCGATGCTTTAGTTCTAACCTTATTGTGGCGTCATGTGTTTACTGAACTAACTAACAGCCAAAGAGAAACTGATTTATCCTCTTATTAATATGGGGATTCT